ACTAAGGACAGTTGTGCAGATTCTACCTTGCAGAGGAGGTAAGTGGGGTTCAATCCAACTCTGGATCAATAGGGCAACCCCCTGGCACAGAACTGCATGTGCTCAGACTACCAGGGACCCTCTCAATATCCAGGAAAGAGGAAGAGAGGACCCTGGAGAGAAAGGGGGTTTGTCCAGTCTGAGGGAAGAGGGCAGCAAAGGCCTGGCTCCAGGGGCACATCTAGTCTGGTCCTCTCAGCGGGGGTCTGAAGGATCAGGTCAGAATGGGGGCTTCAGAGAGCATGTGGGTGCTGGACAGGCCCCAAGGGGTTCACCTTGCCAGTCATCTCACTAAGAGAGGAGAGGACAGTCTCTTAGGGGCTAGGTTCCTAGTTCTAGCTCAGAGATTTCTACCTTCTCTGGTGGCGGAAGGGAGAGGGACTCGGGGAGAAGGGGTGTGTGATCCTGCAGTTGGGGTGGAACTGAGGAAAAGGTGTGCAGACCTGCCCCCATGAGAGAATCTTCTGGAAGGCTCAAAGAAAAGGCACTGATATTTCTATTTTTAATGTAGGGGGTGGAGAGACCTTGTTCCTGCAATAGGATCAGGGAGAGAAGAGGGAGGGGAGAGGTTCAGGGAGGATCTCTTCCTTGGCCAAAACCCCTCTCTCCCCGGGCTCCTATGGAAACTTAAGCTGCCCCAAGGCCCAGAGGAGCTAGTCCATTAGCTGTGGTCAGGGGGGTGTACTAAGGGGGAGCCTCTCTCCCTCCAGGTTATCTGGAAATGAAAGGCAGAGCTCCTGCGCCCTCTCTAAGAGCCAAAACCCAAGCAAAAACAAACCATAAACAGCTCTGCACACATTGAAAAAACACACACAGCATCTTTAGGTGCTCGGAATAACTGAGGCCAATAGCAGTGAGGGTGGGTGACTGGGCGAGACCACAGAGGGCGGGAGGAGGTACTCTCCAGAGCACTTTGCGGGTTCTGTCCTGCCTGAGGGGCCGGGGGTGGGCGGGGTGGAGGGAAGAGAGTCCATTATCCCCACTCTCAGAGGCCTCTAGAATGGGAGCGAGTGGCGCAAGAGAATTCCTCCAAGATACCCAGGCTGAGAAGAGTGGAGGACGGGTCCCAGGGGCTCTCCGGGAAGGGGATGCAAAAGACGGGCCCAGAGGACAGTGGTGCTCCCTCCTCGGAAGGAGGAAAGTTCTGAGCAGTGTTGAGGGAAGTTGATGACTTAGGTCCGTCTCCTTCCGGAGGTGTCCGTCAGCGCAGTTGGGGACCCCAGTAAGATGTAAGATGAGTAAGATTCAGGAAGATGAGCGTGGGGGGGGGCGGGGGGAGGACGGAAGGGCCAATGAGAGGCCGGTCCGCTCGGACGGGGCGCCAGGGTGCAGCGAGGGCCCTGGCTGGGCTACACGCCGGCGTCCCCCCTTCCCCCGCCGGAACTTGGGCTTGTCCTGCTTGACGTGCCCGTAGAGAGGGGCGGGAGGGGGTACTGGCCTGAGCAGTCCCGAGACTGCGCTCCCCGCCGCCCGGACACTCTGCCGGACTCCACGGGGCGGCCCTGGAGGCCAGGATGGAGGTAGGAGCGACCGAGGATGGCCAAGGAGCCCCGGGGGTGGGGCGCGAGTACAGCCTAGAGTCCGGACCCGGGGTCTGGAGAGGGGGCAGCGGTTTCTGGGAAGTCGATGGGGGCGGGGGAGGTGGCTCCTGGCTTGGGCCGGGGTCAGATCCGAGCTGCGCCCCTTCGGATCCGCGCGGGGCAGCGCCTCCTGCTGGCCGGGCCGGACCTCTTGGCGACCAGCCGTCGGGCCGGGTCGGGCCGGGCGGCGGATGCCACCCCCAGGGCGAGAGCGGTCGCCGCGAGAGGCTCCCCTCGAGCCGGGGCATCCCCGCCGGGCTGCCTCCGGTCGGGTCCCGCAGGAGCCACACGCCTGGGCCTGCCAAGGGGGGGGCGGACGTGGCTTCCCCGGCACCCGGACGGGGCGCCAGCGTCGGCGCGGACCTGCCTCCTGGGGCTCAAGCCTCGCCCCGCAACTTCCCCGCGCGCCGGAGGCGGGCGCGGCGCTCAGAGCGGGGTGCGGGGACCGGCGGGGAGCCGGTGCCAGCGCCGGCGTCCCCCCCTCTGGGGGAGGTTGGGGGGGACGGGGATGGGGAGAGGAAGGGCGCGGAGTGGAAAGGTACCGCGTCTACCGGGGACGGGCCCCGCCGAGGAGAGATGCGCGAGCAGGGCTGGGAGGCCAGGCGGGCGGAGCGTGACCGAAGAGGCGAGAAAGGAGGGAGAGGGGAGGGGAGGCGGGCGGGCGCGAGCTGGGGAGGAGGGAAGAGGGAGGGACCCGGCGGAGGGGAGGGAGGGAGCGAGCGAGCGGCGCCGCGGGCTGCGGGCGAGGCCCGGCGTGCAGGCGCGAGGCAGCGTGCGAGGCAGCGCCAGGTCCTGCTCCCACCTCGGAGCCCCCGGCCCCGGGAGGGCAGAGGCCGCTGGCCCGTCTATGTCTTTTTCTGACTCCAGTGCAACCTTCCTGCTGAATGAGGTAACGGCGGGCCCCTCCCCCGTGGGTGAGAGGAGAGCCCCACTCCACGTTAGGAAAAGGGCTGCGTGGAGGGAGACCGCAGCCAGGAAAGCCTGCAGGGAGGGAGGTGTGCGCGGGAGGTGAGGGTCAGGGCGGAAGCAGCAGGTTAGAAAGGCCGGGAGTGCCCAGGGCTCCTAAGCACTGGGGCCCCTAAGCATTGGGGCCCCGGCGGCCCGGGGACTGATGGACCGGCCAGAAAGGACACTGGAGAAGGTGGGGTCTGCCAGTTCCCCCATCCTCTCCCCGGTCCCTTGGGGCAGCCTTGCTGCCGGACCGCGGGAGGCTTTGGCCTGGTCTGTATCTTAAAGATTGCCAGGAAAATGGAGTTCCACAGGTCCTAGCTCCTCCCTCAGTTTCCCCGTTTTATGCTCAAAGACGGATAACTGCCCAGCTCTCTGGGGCACTTAGAAGATGCAAGTGTATATTCTGGAAGCTTTCAAGAAATCCGATTCCCGATCTGGCCCCTCAGGGTTCTTTTCCCCCCTGCCTCCACCTGTGTTTCCCCCATGTCCGGCTTCCACGTGCTGGAATTGGCCAGCTGCCAATCTAACAGCCCTCCCCTAGAGAGAGAGAAGGAGGCGCCCTTCCTTCAGACCTTTCCCCATCCTATGCTCAGCCACGGAGGAGAAATAGGGTTAAGGGGTTCGAGGCCATGTGCAGACTGAAGGCATTTCATAGGACAGAAATTGGCGGGGCTGGCATGAGACTGGAGCAGGTAGGTGTTGGCCAGGCGCGACCTGAGAAGGGATACTGAATAGCAAACCAGAGATAAGGAATGAGAGAAGCTGTGAGGCTCCTGCAAGACCCAGAGGATAGGCACAGGTATGAGGAGCCTGCACCCGTCTCCAGAGGCTAGTTGACATGGCAACCCGGGTTTCCCGAGCAGTCTCAGACACCACTGTCCCAGATGGGAATGAAGACACTGTGTGGTAGGAAAGAATGAGGCAGACAACAAAGCCTGGACACCTTGGCGGTGCAGGAAGCTCCCCAAAGAACAGGCCAGGAGAGCAGACTGGGGAATGCGCAAGCCCTCCCCTAGAGAGCAGGGCTTGGACGGCTGTCTGCTTCACCAGGACCGGCTCCTGGGTCTATCTCTTTCACTGGGTGCTTCCTTTCTGCCCCCCTTGGGAAGACAAAAGGAATAGAAAAGACAAAGGGAAAAATAAAAAGGACACAAAGACTTCTGAGGAACTGGGAGAGGGCCCCAGAGATCAAAAACCTGATTGTCTAGACACGTCCCAAAGGAGAAGCCAACACACAGCCCACTCAGCTGGCTGTGGTGCTGGACTCAGCTCTGGAAGCTGACCGCCCCCCACGGGTACATGGTCCCCTCCACAGAGGGGCTCCCATATTGTTTGCTGAATGCATCAGGAGGTGATGCTGGGCAGGGCTGGACAGCACCACTCACAGGGCAGGCTAAAGTCAGCCTTGAGATGGGTCCTGCCAGCTCTCTTGTCCAGGGAAGATGGAGAGGTCGCTCAGAGGGAAGCCAGTAGGCCGGAGTGGCCCACTCAGGCTCTCTTCCCTGAGACCCTTCAAACCCTATCAGAGTTTTGCTTTTTCAGAGTCCCTGTTAGGCCAGGAAGGTCAATAAGTGAGCAGATGTCTTATTCGCCCTCATCGGTGTGAAAATCTGGGGCTGGGCAGGCAAGAATATAGATGGGCACTCAACATTCAAATGAACGATTCCGCGCAGGAGATGAAAAAAGCGGAGTTCAAATGGGTGGATCTTGAGGGGCGGTGGTCATCAAGAAGGGGGCCATTGTGGCGGCCTCCAATCCCCGGACTCCTTCACAAGGGCCGGTCGGTCTGGCTTCCTCCCCACCGCGAAACCTTTGCTAGGCAGGAATCTGTCCTTACAGTGGCCCACCCGGGGACCCCTGCCCTTCCTCCTCCCGGCCCTAGAGCGGCCAGGCCCCCCTCCAAGAGGGCCCCACGATCCCTTAGGCGCACTTAGAACCGCCCTTCGCTGCCCCGGTCCCCACGGATACCTAGGCAGGAATCCTTGGCGAGCAGGTGAGGAAGAGAACCCCGGTCCCCGGCAGGGGTGAACCGGGCTGCGCAACAGGTGCGGTCGGCCGGACCCCAGATCTCCCCCCAGGGCCCGCGCTGCGGGGGGCCGAGCACCGGCCAGGAGCTACCTGCGCGCCTCGGCTGGGATCCCCAGGTCCCGCCTTCCCGAAAACATCGTGGGCTTTGCTTGGGGGGTCCCCCGGACAGCCAGGGCCCAGACACGCCGCCTCTCTCGCCCGCCGCCGCCGCCGCCGCCCCGCGGCCCCCGGCCGGCCTCTCCCGCCTCCCCCCGCCCGCCGCACCCCTGCTCCGGCTCCCGGCGCCCCCGGCCTCCCCTCCCCCGGCCCTTTGTTCCCCGGCCGGGCCTTTCCGGGGCCGCGGCGCGTCCGTCTCCCCGCCCCTTCCTCCCGCAGCCCCGCGGGGCTGGAGGTGCGGGGGGGACCCACCTCGGGCCCGGCCCTCGGCGCTCCCCGCGCCCCGCCTCTGCCGGGAGGGGGTCAGGTGGGCGGGCGCTATTGTTCCCGGCGCGGCGCCGGCCTCCTCGGGCGCGCGGGGTGGGACCGGCGGCTGCGGGGGGCGGGAGCTGATCGGGGCTGGAGCCGCGGGGCTGCGCGCTCGCCCGCTCCTGCGCGCCGCTCGCTGGCTCCCGGCCGCCGCCCGCAGGCTGCGGGGCTCGCTGGTCCCTCCGGGCGCGGCCCGCCGCCCCCGCCCCCGCGCCCTCGCCCCACCTCCCCGCCCGGACTCCCCATGTATGACGACTCCTACGTGCCCGGGTTGGAGGACTCGGAGGCGGTGAGTGCCCGCGGTGGGGGTGGGGAAGTTGGGGAACCCTGGCTGTCCCCTGGACTCGCCCCCCCCCCCCCAGTGCAGGACTTTGACAGATGCTTCTGCTGCGGGGCAAGGCGTGTGCAGAAAGGGGCGAGGGGGTTCCAGTGCCGGGACCCCCCCCCCCGCCCCAGGCCCATGTCTCAGCCCAGGGGCATCGCCTGGAGACAGAAGAGTCGAGCAGGTGGCTCCGGAGCCGCGGGGAAGAAAGGAGCGAGGGGAGGGAAGGACTGGCGGGCCCTGGAGGATCCGGAGTTCTGGGTGGGGGGGAGAGTTCACGGGGTGCGGGCACCGCGGCTGCAGAGGCGGGCGGTGGGGGAGGGGAATGCAGACCCCCAGGGGACACTTCCGGGGGGCAAGAGGAGATCAGAGGGTCACCCCGACCCCTCCTAAGCGGGCTCTTCCACCTGAGCACCTCCACGGCTCCCTCCTGGCCACCCCTGGACATCACCCCATCTCCTCACTCTGCCTCCAGGCAGCTTCTCGCTCGGGCTGGAAACTGGCACCCGGCACCAGGCTGGGCCAGCTGGCAGAGCCCCATCCCTTCCACGCCTCCTGCTGAGCGGCCAGAGCCGCATGGAGGGCCTGGGCTGGAGAGGAAGCTCTGCTCAGAGAACCAGGCAACCAATAAATATTTAATTCTCCTCTTCGCTTTTATCTCCTGACCCACTGAGTCAAATCAGCTCATTAGGCAGTGATTCCCGGAGCCCTGCGCGAGGAGAGTGCCTGGGAAGATGGGGCAAGATGGGGTTCAGCTTTGCAGCGCCCTCCTTCCTGCAAGCCTCCACGAGGTTGACTCTTCGGAGTGTCTGTCGCCGTGGAGCGTGGTGGGGCAGCGTCTGAGGCTTCTGCCACTTCTTCCTGCCAGGCTCCGTGGATTCTGGGGCTCAGTATAAACAACCCCGGGCCCTTCTCTGCAGTGGGGCCCCTCCTGGGCCCATTCCCCATTGGGCCTCTGGGACTCGTTCCGTTGGAACTAGGGCAGAGGAGGGTGAAGGCTCTGGTGGGCACTTGTTTCCGACAGTTGAGGGGACGGCTGGCTTGGCACAGGGCGCAGAGGTGTGCTCACGAAGAAACCTCTCTCTGTGTGAACTGGAAGACCCTAGAAGGTTCTTCCCACCCCTGGTGAGAAGGCGAGGGCGACTGCAGGGGAGATTCTGTAGTGGGTATGGGGTGAGCCCCCTGCTGACCATGTGCCCTTCTATCTCCTCTGGTTCCTGGCTCCCCTCCCTCCCCCTCTTCCCTTCCTCTCACCAGGCTCCTTGCTCTTCTGAGGCCCCCTCTGAAGCAGTAGGAGGGAGATCAGGCTCTAAATAAATCCACCGGCTCATCTCCCTCCTCTCCTTCCCCCGTGCCAGGCGAGAGTGCCGCTGCCTCCTGCCTACACACTCACCAACAAGGGGGGCACCACCGGGGCACTGTGCCAAACTCCTGGCGGCTCCAGAGAACTAAATCTCTGGGTGTAAGAGAGGGGAAGGGGAGATGAGACTCCCCCGAGTGTGCTCTGGGGCCCAGTTCTGCCGACTTCAAGTGACCGGAGGCCTGGGAGAGCGCCAAGGCCTTGGCCGTTGTGCAGGAGAGGTTCCCTCTCGAGCCTGGTCCATTCCTTTTCGAGAGGGCCTGCAGCCCGAAGCCTGGCCAAGAGGCCTGGTGACCCACATGTCAGGCTGGGATGTGAGACTCTGAACCGGGCTGCGAGCAGAGCCAGTGGCGGTCTGTCTTCTACTTGTCACTGGGCTGCCGCCTGTCCTGCTCCCTGCAGACGGTCATAACCCGTGGAGCTGTCCCCTGTGTCCCTGCAGACGGTCCGAACCCGTGGAGTTGTCTCCTGTGTCCCTGCAGACGGTCAGAACCCGTGGAGCTGTCCCCTGTGTCCTGAGGCAGGGAAGGCCTCCCGCCTCCTGCTGACAGTGCAAAGGTTCTTCCTGGGGCGCAGCCTCCGTCTCCTGCTGCCACGCCAGCCATGTTCCTTCTTGAGAGGACTCCCTGGCTCTGTGACACGAAAGGCGTCGTGTCCCTCCCCCATCTGCGCTACGTTCACACTTTCGAGCTGGACGTTCGAAAAGTCTTTAGCTTGGGCCCTGGGGCCGAGGCTGACTCCAAGCCGAATGGTTCTCCTGCCAGTAGTTGACTGGAGCTGAGCTTACAGTGGATGTAGGGGTGTGAGTTTGTCTTCTCCACTGAGAGTTTGGTTTCTGCTCCTTCTGGAGGTAGGCAGCCCGAGAACATTGTGTGCGTGCACGCGTGTGTGTGTGCGCGCACACACACACACACACACACACACACAGAGAGCAGGATCTTATCTCTATTTCGGAACTGATGGAATTATCACTTCAGACCTCTACCCACAAGAGGGAAACTGAGGCAGAAAACCAAAGATTTCCTTTTCCTGAGAGATAATACGACAGGTCAGGCGCTTGCCTTGTAGGCGGCAGACTTAAGTTCAATTCCCAGCATCCCAGATGGTTCCTCGAATCTGCCAGGAGTAAGGAGTAACCCCTGAGCATTGCCAGGTGTGGCCCAGAGCCCCCCCACCCCACAAAAAAAAAAAAAAGAGAGAGAGAAATTCCCTTTCCTCTAGACTGAGGAGGAAACCCGGACCTGGCATCCTTGCATTCTGCAGCTTCCTCCTAGTTTGAAGGATCTCTCTGACCTCCCAGAGACCCTTCCAGCAGCAGAACTCAGACTTCTGGCCCAGCTACCAAAGACCCCCCTGACAGTTCCAGGCTCCCACGCTTGGACTGTGTTGCCTGGCACCAACCTGGCCTTCCCCCGGGATTGGGAGAGGTAGGCCAGCTGGGAGGTGTGGTTCAGCTTTGTGTTGTCTTCTCAGCCTGTCTTGTTTGCTGTCCACACCTGGCCAACCGCCCAGCAGGTGTGAGAGCAAAGAGGGGGGCAGGTGGGGACTTTCCCTCCTTGGCAGTTCTGTACCCTCTCACCCCGGAAGGGAAGGGACTGAGTAGAGACCTGTGTTTTTGTTGTTTTTGCGATGTTGAGGATTGAACCCAGGGCGTCACACACAGGGCGCAGCAAATGCTCTAGAATCACAAAGCCACAGCCCAGCCCCAAGAAGTCCCTTCTGACTGTTCCTAGCTGGGGATGCTCCTCCAGACATTTGTGTTGTAGGGGGCCAGTGTGCCACACCCAGGGGTGCGCAGGGGCTGTTCTTGATAGTGCTTAGGGGACCGTATGTGGTGCCAGGGACCAAACTAGAGTCAGCAAGGCAGGCACCTTATCCCCTGTTCTGTCTCAATGCACCTCCCTCCCCCCACCAGGCATTTAATTAATTAATTAATTAATTTCTTGCTTTTTGGGGTCACACCTGGCGATGCACAGGGGCTACTCCTGGCTCTGCACTCAGCAGTTACTCCTGGCGGTGCTCCGGGGACCCTGTGGGATGCTGGGAATCGAACCTGGGTCAGCTGCGTGCAAGGCAAACGCCCTACCCGCTGTGCTATTGCTCCAGCCCCTCACCAGGCATTTGAAAGGGATAATATGCGGGCTGCTCTGCAGGCTAATGTGGACGGAGGGCTGGGTCTTCTGAATTCAGAATCTCCTCCACTATCTTCTCTTCAGTGCATCTCCCTTCCCTCCGCCTCGAGGACAGGGAGAAACGGGAGGCAGGAGGGAAGGGAAGGCGCTATTCAAAGCTGCAGTATTAATAGGCCTGGGGGAGGGGCCCGCTCTTTGCAAAGAGGTTGGGCAGACTTTGCTGCGGGCCCCAGAGGCACTCAGCCCTGCTCTGGGAGACGGGAGAGGTGCTTTGAGGGCGAGCCACCCTGTGGACGCCGCGGAATGATGGGGAGAAGTGGAGCCTGCCCGTGCGTTCGGAGGGGGCCTCCGGAGTGCCCTGTGTGCCCGAGCCCAGGGTCATCTCTTCCCCCTCCCGTGCCAGGGTTCAGCTGACTCTTACACCAGCCGCCCGTCTCTGGACTCCGACGTGTCCCTGGAGGAGGACCGGGAGAGTGCCCGGCGGGAGGTGGAGAGCCAGGCCCAGCAGCAGCTCGAAAGGGCCAAGGTAGCAGCTTGGGCGGGAGGGGGGGGTGGGGTCAGGGCAGGCCGGGAGGCAGCCTGTGTGCTCTTGGGGGCACTGCCGGGCAGGTGTGCTCCGAGGTGCTCCTCGTTTGCTCCCGTGCTCCTTCTCCAGCACAAACCTGTGGCCTTCGCTGTGAGGACCAATGTCAGCTACTGTGGCGTCTTGGATGAGGAGTGCCCGGTCCAGGGCTCCGGAGTCAACTTTGAGGCCAAAGACTTTCTGCACATTAAAGAGGTGACTTGGGCTGGAGCGATAGCACAGCGGGTAGGGCGTTTGCCTTGCATGCAGCCAACATGGCCGACCCGAGTTCAACTCCTCCGCCCCTCTCAGAGAGCCTGGCAAGCTACCGAGAGTATCCGATATGCCAGACACAGTAACAACAAAGTCTCCAATGGAGACGTTACTGGGCCCGCTCGAGCTCGAGCAAAGAGGTGACTTGCCCTGTACCCCAAGTGAAGCCACTTGATTACCCGCTCTTGATGAAGTTCCAGGCCCTTCCTCTGGCCCTCTTATGGTTGGAGGGCCACACCCAGCCATCCTCAGGGGTTACTCCTGGCACTGCACTCAGGGTTTGGGGACCCATCTGGGATGCTGGGGCTTGAACCTGGGTTGGCCGCTGCCCCTTCCCTGCTCCCACTCCTAAACTCCTCCCCTCTTTTTTTTTTTTTTTTTTTTTTGCTTTTTGGGTCACACCCAGCGATGCTCAGGGGTTACTCCTGGCTATGCACTCAGGAGTAACTCCTTGCGATGCTTGGGGGACCATATGGGATGCCGAAGATCGAACCCGGGTCAGCCGTGTGCAAGGCAAACGCCCTACCCGCTGTACTATTGCTCCGGCCCCGAAAATCCTCCCTTCTTAACCCTGACACACACCAGCCCACCCCTCATATCCGAAGTACTAGTCAGGGTCTTGGCTCCCGAGCCTCTCCTGGGCAGATCCCCTTCCCACCAAGTAAAGAGTTAGACTGGCTGCCTCACCGGTCCCCATCAAGGTCACTTAGCCTTGGCGCCTTTTCCTGCCCCCCCCCCCCCCCCCGCCCTTGCCCTGAACTCCCGAGCACCTTCCTGGGCCTTTCACCTGGGAGAGCCAGGACTGGGCCTAGCGCTTCCTTCTTCTCCCTGCCTCTTCGCCACCTGCAGAAGTACAGCAATGACTGGTGGATCGGGCGGCTAGTGAAGGAGGGCGGCGACATCGCCTTCATCCCCAGCCCCCAGCGCCTGGAGAGCATCCGGCTGAAGCAGGAGCAGAAGGCCAGGTGAGAGCAGGGCTGACTCAGCACACACCCTGAGACCAGTGCCCTCTTCCCTTAGGACACAGTGCCACCCCTACCCTCATACACACACACCTCCGCCCCAGTGGCCCTCAGCACAGATCCAAGCATATGCACACCCACCCTTCTTGCTAGGGAAGACCTAAGGAGACAGCTAGGCAGCGACACGCAGCACCCACCCAGAGACCCTTAACTGACCTCCCTTTCTGCTCTCAGGAGATCCGGGAACCCCTCCAGCCTAAGTGACATCGGCAACCGACGCTCCCCTCCTCCATCTCTAGGTAGCCTTCTCCAACACCCCCCCCCCCTTCGTGGGTAGGTGGGTCACGAAGAGGGAAAGGGAGCTTCTCCCCAGGGAACTGTGTGGGAAAGGGCTGTGGAGGGACAGGAAGCTGGGTGAAGCCGGGTCTCCCCTAGGGAAGGGAAAGCCATGCCCCAGGGACCTTCTCTTCTGTCACCAATGTTGATCTTTTCTTTCCTTTTCCAAAAAGCCAAGCAGAAGCAAAAGCAGGTGAGTCAAGGAATGCATGTGGGCTGAGAGGGGCTCGTGGCTTGTAGCTGGAGGGCTGTGTTCCACCGTTGGCGGGGCAGGAGAGCAGGGGGAGGGTGTCCGAGTGCTGAGCCCGAACCCTGGCAGGCTGTAGGGCGCTGGCATGGCCTGACCACAGTTCAATTCTGCAGGCGGAACATGTGCCCCCATATGATGTGGTGCCCTCCATGCGGCCTGTGGTGCTGGTGGGACCCTCTCTGAAAGGCTACGAGGTAGGAAGAGGGCCCTGGGCCCAGTCTTCTTTTTTTTTGCTTTTCGGGTTACACCTGGCGATGCTCAGGGGTTACTCCTGGCTTTCCGCTCAGGAATCAGTGCTCAAGGGACCCTATGGGATGCTGGGTCTCGAACCTGGGTTGGCCGCGTGCAAGGCTAACACCCTACCCACTGTGCTATCACTCCAGCCCCAGGTCCCAGTCTTCTTGAGCCTGGCAGGGCCCAGGGACAACGGGAGGCGGATTCTCCCCAGGGTTTCCAGGAGAAGTGGTTGCGCTCTGGGCCAGGCCTGAGGTGGTGGCCCTCAGCCAACCCCGTGCCTTTTGCCCGACACCTCCCGCCAGGTCACAGACATGATGCAGAAGGCTCTCTTCGACTTCCTCAAACACAGGTTTGATGGCAGGTAAGAGGAGCGTGAGCTGCAGTAAGGGCAAGTTCACGGGCCTGGGCAGAGTGGGGCCTGGCCGCTCCACAGAAGGGCACACGGCCACTCTCCATGCCCGCCAGGATCTCCATCACCCGCGTCACCGCTGACCTCTCGCTGGCAAAGCGGTCTGTGCTCAACAATCCTGGCAAGAGGACCATCATCGAGCGCTCGTCTGCCCGCTCCAGCATCGGTGAGGGTCCCCCAAGGTTCTTGGCACAGCCCCGCCTCTGGGAGTCCCTTCCTCCTCCCTCACCCCCTGCCCAGCCCCCTCTGCTGTCCAGAGCCCCCAGACCCGAGGAACACTCTCCCTCTGGTTCCCTGCTCCCCACAATTCGGGAGCCCTCGCTGCCCACTGAAGGGAGGAGTGGGGGAGCTGTTGCTGACAGGCGGCCCCTCTGCCTCTCCCTACCCCAGCTGAGGTGCAGAGCGAGATTGAACGCATCTTCGAGCTGGCCAAGTCCCTGCAGCTGGTGGTGTTGGATGCGGACACGATCAACCACCCGGCGCAGCTGGCCAAAACCTCGCTCGCTCCCATCATCGTCTTTGTCAAAGTCTCATCCCCGAAGGTAAGTCACGGCGGTGGAGGGGCCCCCCCAGCATGGTTGCCCCCCGAACTCGTTCTGCTCTGCCGGACTCCAGCCCCCTCTGCCCTCCCCTCCCTCAGGTCCTGCAGCGGCTCATCCGCTCTCGGGGGAAGTCTCAGATGAAGCACCTCACTGTGCAGATGATGGCGTACGATAAGCTGGTGCAGTGCCCCCCGGTGAGTGCCTGCAGCCCTCCCGCCCAGTGCCCTCTGGCTCTTCCGGAGCTGAAGGAGGGCTGCGGGGGAGGGGGCCGGTAGGGAGCCAGCTGTGCCCCCCCCCCCCCAACTTGTCCTCCCCCCCAGGAGTCATTTGATGTGATTCTGGATGAGAACCAGCTGGAGGATGCCTGTGAGCACCTGGCTGAATATCTGGAGGTTTACTGGAGAGCCACCCACCACCCAGCGCCGGGCCCTGGGCTTCTGGGCCCTCCCAGCACCATTCCTGGACTTCAGGTAACCATTTCCTGTGGGCAGGCTTAGCCACTCAGAGTCCTGCCCTTTCTCCAGCCCCGTCATCCTTGACCAGAAGAGGGGCAGGAAAGTCAGCTCGAAGTTCAGAGTCGGGCAGGAGGGTGAAGGGACTTCCCGTGAGCAAAGGGAATCAGCTGATGAGCGCGTTCAAGGGGAACCAACCTCCCAGCCCTCCTGACGGCACAGGCTGAATCTCCCAGGAGGCTCTAGTCCTCCGTTCCGGAAGAGGGAGAGTGCCCCCGAGCGCCATCCTTTCCTTACCTCCTGGGCATTTAGAGGACCTGAGGGAGCTGAGTCCCCCAGCCCATGGGGGCCCCGTCTGCGTCCCCCACCTCCAGCTGTTGTGTTGCCACAGAGCCAGCAGCTGCTGGGGGAGCGCGGTGAGGAGCACTCGCCGCTGGAGCGAGACAGCCTGATGCCATCGGACGAGGCCAGTGAGAGCTCCCGCCAGGCCTGGACCGGCTCCTCCCAGCGCAGCTCCCGCCACCTGGAGGAGGACTACGCGGATGCCTACCAGGACCTGTACCAGCCTCACCGCCAACACACTTCGGGGCTGCCCAGTGCTAACGGGCATGACCCCCAAGACCGACTCTTAGTCCAGGACTCGGAGCACAACCACAATGACCGGAACTGGCAGCGCAACCGGCCCTGGCCCAAGGACAGCTACTGAGCGCCTCCGGCTGCCCGCCCGGCAGCGCAGGCACAGCTGGCTGGACCCCCTCCGGGTAGGCTGGAGTTAGGCTGGCATTAGGCTGGCACTAGGCTCGGCCCCCACGACCCCCTGCCCAGCCCCGGCGCCACGGCTGCCTGTGGTGCCCCGGTTCTGGGAGAAACAGAGGGCCCCTCACCTCCTGGGCAGTGACCCCCTAGGCTCCCGTTCAGGTACTAGCTGTGTGCGCTGCACCCCGGCACCTCCTCCTCCCGCACAAGAAACTGCCTCACTGGACAGTGCCCCCGGCCAGGACCCCTCGGCAGGGGCCTTCCCACCAGACTCAGGGAAGGGGTGCCCCTCCCGGTGACAAGAGGCTGGGGTCCCAGCAGCCGTGGCCTGAGGGAAGACACTGGTCCCCGACTGGGCACAAGTCCCAGCCGCCAGGAACGCGGGCTTGTGTTGGGGCCCCGGGAGCCTCACTCACCTCACTGCCACACTCAGAAATAGACAATCACACCCACAAGGCTGGAGCCGCAGCAGGTGAAGCTCGGGCCGGTGCCCGGCAGGCGGAACTAGGGCAGGGCTCGCTTCACCCTGCCATGAAGCGTCTGGACACCTCAGGCCCGGGGAACAGGCGCAGGATCGAGCCAAATGACAGATGGAAGCCAACCTGGGTTGGGGGTTTGGGGAAGCAAGAGCTTGTGTAGCAGAGAACAAGGACGACTTCGGGGCCCTCCCTGCCCCCTCCTTTTGCCCCCGCATCCTGTCATTCCTGTCCTTGCCCCCCATGTCTCCTGGGGAATCGTGGGCCCCAACTCCATTCCCTCACTCACCGCTTGTGAAGTTTGGGTTCGTTAGGGAGAGAGGTCACAGCCAACAGCCCGAGGCCGTCTCCCTGCCTCCCCTTGCCTTATGACTAGTGTGTGACCTCCATCCAGCGCATGCTCACAGACCCGGCCCCACTTCACGTCATCACTAATAAACATCCTGCACCGCCGCTCGGCTCCTGTCTGGGTTTGTCAGCTCGGGGCGCGGAGGCTGGAGGTCGCGTCCCCCACCGAGGACCCGGGGAAGGAAGGGAACGGGATGGAGCAGCGGGAAGTGCTGTTCTTGGGGATGCCCCACCCCCACCCCACGCTCAGGGCCTGGAGGCAAACCCTGAGCAGCACAGAGAAGACTTGTTCTAGGAGGCGGAGAAGCCGAGTCACAGCATCGCAGGCCAGAGAGGAGCCGCAGCTTGAACTTGTTCTTGCTCCGGAGGGCAGGAGCAACATCTGTTTTTTGGTTGGGGGCCACACCCAGTGGTGCTCCCTGGTTCTGCACTCAGGAATTACCCCTGGTAGGGCTTGGGGGACCACGTGGGATATCAGGGATCAAACCCAGATGAGCCGCATACGAGACAAGCACTCGACCCACTGTACCGTTGCTCCAGCCAAGAGGAAGACAAACACACTACCCGCTGTACAATGGCTCTGGCCCCAGGGTAGGAGCAATACTGGGGGGCAGGGGGAGGACCCAGGTGCTGCAGCGCTCACAGGATCCTCACTTGGGCGGGCAGACTCCGCCCATCACTCCTGAGGCCTGTGTCCATCTCTGTGCACCCTAAGCAAAGGGACAATGACAAGCGGAAGTGACAGGTGGGAGAGTGACAAGTGAAAGTGAGTGATGGGTGGGGGAGTGAGCGAAGGGTGAGAAAGTGAGGGATGGGAAAGTGAGTGACATAAGGAAAGTGACGGGTGGGGGAGTGAGTGAGGGGTGGGACAGTGAGCGATCGATAGGTAGGAGCGAGTTGTGGGTGGAGAGTGACAGACAGGTGGGAGAGTGGCCAATCCTGCCTCACCTCCCGGCATCGCACCGCTTTCCTCGCTTTCCTCGGTGGACAGGCTGGAGCTCTGCGATCTGCGGCCGCGCAGGGAAGCGCTGTATCGGGGTTCTGCCACCACTAGCTCTGCCATTGCCTCTGGGCCTCTGGGGGCGAGAGCAGCCCTGACCCGGGGTCTTCTCTGTCATTTTCTTTCATGCCATGAGTCCACCTGCAGTGACCAACATCTTCTGAGGTACCAGGGAGAACCCGGAGCGCTGAGGTAGAAGCAGGCAGTCGTAACAGTCATGTATTTATTCTCAGAACATACAAACTTATCTTCTCAGCGAATAGAAAACAGAAATTTCACTCAGTGACAAAGATGGACACAGCCAGCTCACCCTGTCCCCACAACTACTAAAAAAATTCCCTGGGTGAGGGACGCCTAGAGTGCACAGCACCCCTCGGCACGGGCTGGCACGGCTCTCGGCAACGCTCCCGACTTGTTCTGCGATCCAACAGGCAAACGGCAGGCGAAGTGCCGAGGGCGCAAGGCATGACCACGTCCTCGGTACCAGGCCCCTAGGTCATCGAGGGCAGCGGCGTGGCGGTGGCTTACACAGCTCGGTCTCTGCCAGGAAGGTCCCTCCCGACAGCTGCCGCCTGCCCGAGAAACTGCCGGAGCTGCCAGGCCGACGCCACTGCCGAGGCTGCCCAGGGAGGCAGGGAGGTCTAACGCCCTGGCGGCCGGTTTGCCAGCAGCTCCTCTCCTCGCGGCCCCACACCCAGGGCAGACTGGGCAGGAAGCTGCTTGTTTCTGAAGTCCCCAGACTGAGAGTCCTGAAGCAGCAGCTTCGGAGCATGCCCTGAACCCGGGCGACAAGTCCGTCAGGCAAAGATGGTCTCTTCCCGGCGCTTCTTGGTAAGGATGGTGCCTGGCTTGTGCTGGGCATCCGGGTGGTTGGCGAGCTCAGGGGGGCAGGAGGACACTGGGCTCTCCAGGATGGCCTGCTTCAGCTCGTAGAACACCGCAGAGTCCTCCTTGGTGAGGAAGGTAATGGCCACACCACTCTTGCCCGCTCGTCCCGTTCGGCCAATGCGATGGATGTAATCTGGGCAGGGGAGCAGCAAACCAGTCAGGGCCTGGGCCAGACAGATGTCCGCCACTTCTGAGGGCACCCCCCTCCAGACCACACCTCCAGGCAGGAAATGCACTGTGGGACCCCCTACTCCTCCACAAAACACGAGGGCTGCTCAGCGCGGACCTGCCTCCCCCCCAACACACACACACACACACACACACACACACACACACACACACACACACACACACACACACAATGAAGACAGTGTTATCTGCGGTGAACAACCCCGTGCACAATAAACAGCAGGTACTTCTCCCACCGGGACTAGCTCCCCACGGAGGCGGCCACAGTGCCCCAAGTTCGAGCCGAAAGACCCGAGATGGCAGCGTTTCAGATCCCCCACTGACCTTCAATGTTTTTGGCCATGTCATAGTTGACGACCATGGATACATCCTGAATGTCGATACCACGTCCTGCCACGTCCGTCGCCACCAGAATATCCTTGGCGCCAGCCTTGAGGTTGGAGAGGGCGAACTCACGCTGCTCCTGGCCTTTGCCGCCGTGCAGGGTACAAGCGTTGTACTGTCGGGAGAAGGTGAGTGAGCAAAGAACCCGAGGCCAGGGAGAGGGCCTGGGGTCAGAGGGCAGCAGAGGGCAACGGAAGGACACGGGAGAAAGAATAAGTCACGCAGAGCAAGGGGAGGCTAGGGCCCGAGAGCGAGCACGGGAGGGCGGGTGCTGGCCCTGCACGCGGCCAACCCGGGTTTGATCCCACATGGCTCTCTGAGCCCACCAGGAGTGATTCCTGAATCCAGAGCCGAGAGTAACCCCCCGCACCCTCTGAAGGAAAAGGGGAGAGCAGCGGGCAGGGCAACGGGAAAGCATGTGCGTGTGAAGAATTGGGCACGTGAGGGGCTGCCAGTGGGTGAGGGGAGAACGCAGGGACCCCCCAGTCGCAGAAAGCTGAAACACTAAGTGGAGGGCAACATCCCTCCCCTCAGGCCCTGGCATCCAAATTCAAAGCCACGGAGGACCCACACCTCTCCCGCCCACATCCCCCTCTGCAAACTCTGCCCAGCTCCAGGCCACACCTCCAGGGCCTGCTGCCGCCACTGGGAGGTCACATCAAACCTCTCCAGGCCCGGCCCCCGGGGAGGAGGAGCCGGGCACTCCGGCTGCACCAGTCGGTTTTCCCCGGCAGAAACTGCTCGTCCCCTGGCGCCGGCTGGCCGGCTACCGTGAGGTCAGAACAGAGCAGCAAGAGCCCGGGGGACCTGGCTCGCTTCAAGCAGCAGCAGCAGAGAAACTGGATTCTGTTCCCCCTGCCAGACACACCCCCATCTTCTCCAGGGACTTGGCCAAAACATCACAGCCCTTCTTCTGGTTGACAAAAATGATGATGGGTGGATCAAAACCTTGCTCCAGTATTGCCAGCAGCTTTTTCCTGGAGAGAAGAGAAGACGAGACGCATGCTACCTCGCCCCAGAGGACAGGCCCAACCCCACGCTGCAAAGGCAGGGCCGCCCATGGCTGCGGCACCCAGACGAGGCAACGGCCCTGCACGCGGCAGAAAGACCACCCTCCAGCCACACTCACAGGGAGCAGCCCCCCGGCTCAGCGCCCCCCGTACCTCTTCTCTGACTCTGACATGAGGAAGACCTTCTGTTCCACACGCTCATGGGGTTTGCCTGCAGAGCCAATGTACACCACGGCGGGGCGCCGGAGATAGCTGCGGGCCAGACGCTCCACAGCCGGCGGCATGGTGGCCGTGAACATGACGGTCTGTGAGAACGGGAGGCTCAGCCACGGGCCGCGGCCAGCCACATCCCACCATCACCGAAGGCAGCACAGCACCGGCCAAGGAGCACAGAGTGCTCTGCACGGGGAGCCTGGGTTTCATCCCCGGGACTACAAGATCATCCCCCCCGACACACACCTGCCAGAGCTGCTGAGAGCAGCCCCCAGCACCGAGCTAGGAGACCCCCACGCACAGCCAGGTGTGGCGCACGCCCCCCTCCCCCGCAACGCCAAAGGAAGGATCTAAAATGAACCACGGCGCCAACCTGGACGGCCTCTGCCTTCCCACAGCCCCCCTGCCAGGACTCGGGGCCTCTGTCCCTCCCTTAGGCACGCCAGACGGCGGTGTGACTCTGGACTCATTTTCCCAGCTGGTTACACAGCAAGGACCCTGAGAGGACTCCACAGTCTGCCTATTACTCCATTAGGGAATGCATACTCTCAGCCACGAGGGCAAGGGTGGCTTCAGGGCGGCTTTGGGAACCCGCTCTGTTTCCCAGTCCAGGGAAGCGCCTTACTTGGCGGTACTTATGCTTCCCGGACTCGAAGTTAGCGAGCATCTTCTCGGGGTCCTCTGCTTCATCGGTGTCTGGCTTCTGGTTGCTGACAGGCATGTGCTCCAGGATCTTCTGGACATC